AATTTTGATGTGGTTGCGGGAGGCGATGGGTGCAGCTGTTACCTACGCGCCATCTTGTTTCCTCTCCGTGGTTTGGGTCTTTTCCACAGAACTTGAGCCTGGATTGTAGATGAGCTGCTGTCCCCAAATCCTAGGAATGTCTTTCTCCAGGGATGGCCAGAGGCCCCTTTGGACGGTTCACTAAGCGTTCTTTCAACAACTGAGTATTTATGGAGCACCTCCCGTGTGTCAGGCGCTGTACGAGGTGCTGGGCGCAGAGGTGAGCAAGACAGACATGGCGCCCCCTCCTGGAGCTCATGGTGCACAAGAGGCAAACCTGGATCAAGCGCTGAATGCGGGTCAATGAATGGTGACAGATTGGAGTACATGCTTGGAAGGAAAGGAACATGGTTCTAGGAAAGTGTAGAGCAAAGGAGCTTGGGCTGGGGGCTGGTCAGAGGAGACTGTGAGGAAGGGACACCTGAGCTGGGACTGGAGGATGTGTAGGAGTTCACCAGGCAAGAGAGGTGGGGGCAGGGGGTGTGCATTATAGACAGTGATCCCGAGTGGGTAGAAAGGTGGGGCTTTGGGAGAAGTAAAAGGAAGTCGGTGTGGCAGGAGTGGAGAGTGAGAGGAGAGAGGTGCTAAGAGGGGTTGGGGGGAGTAGGTGGGAGGCACCTACGATGGTGTGCCTTTTGGTGGTGTGCTTTTTAATTTTAAAAAATTTTATTGATTTTTAAAAAATATATGTTTTTATTGATTTTAGGGAGAGAGGAAGGGAGAAGAAGAGAGAAACATTCATGTGAGAAACAGCAATTGGCTGCCTCCTGCACACCCCCTACCAGGGACTGGCCTGCAACCCGCATGTGCCCTCACCAGGAATTGAACTGACAACCTTTTGGTGCATGGGACCATGCTCAACCAACTGAGCCACACCAGCCAGGGCTTATTGATTTTTTTAGAGAGAGAGGGAGGGAGGAGGGATGGAGATAGAGAGAGAGAGAGAGAGAGAGACCCTTTGATTTGTTGTTCCACTTATTTATGCATCCATTGGTCGCCTCCTGTATGTGCCCCGACTGGGGATCTAAACTGCAACCTTGGCATTTGGGGGATGACACTCTAATCAACTGAGCTACCCAGCCAGGGCTGGCTTTTGGTTTTTATACCCTTTGTCTTGAAGGAGTTTAAACAGTTGGGATTAGGAGATGAATGGATATGAAGGGGGGCAAGGGTGGAAAGCAGGCCTGGGGTGAGGTGGTGGTCCCCGACTTGAGGCAGGAGCTTAGGAGGAGACAAAAGGATGGGTTCCAGCCATGGAGAGCATTTTCTAGCTAAAACTTCTGCTCAGCTTGTGCAGACAGGGCATCTTTAGTGCAATATGGGTGGGGAGATAGGACACAGGTCTTTTTTGTTTTCAGTTTTGTTGAGGTATAACTGATGCACAGTAAACTGCACACATTTGAAGTGTCCAGTTGGATGAGTTGATATATGTATGTACCTGGAAAACCTATCACCATAATCAAGAGAGTGAATATCTCCATTATTCCCCAAAGTTTCCTTTGTAATCCAACCATCCTCCCAGCCTCACTGATCTGCCTTTTGTCATTATGGGTTAGTCTGCATGTTCTAGGAGTTTATACAAATGGAAGCCTACATTATGATAATGTACTCTCTGTGGTCTGTCTTCTTTCATGCAGCATAATTATTTTGAAATTTATCCATATTGGATATGTAGGCTCTTACTTGGACTTTGCTGTTCATTTTTTATCTTGAGTAAATCTCTTAAGCCCTTGCAGCTCAAAGTGAGATCCATGGCCCAGCAGCATCTGTGTCTTCCCCCTACCCCTGAGCTTGTTAGCAACGAAGAACCTCAGGTCCCACCACAGCCCTGTGACTCAGAACCCTCGTTTTAACAAGATCCCCAGGACATTTGCATACATGTTACAGTTTGAGAAGCCCAGTCTTCAGCTCTCTGGACCTGTGTGTATTTTTTTCCTTGTTTTTGGACTGCAGGTACAGGGAGTTGAGTTAATTACACTTAGTTAATAGCTCATTGTCACCACCAGGCTTTGTATGGCCTTTCTTAGTGTATTTTCTTCTTTCCCCCCTCACTCTTATGAC